CCACCTCCTTCTATAGAAAAAGATAATAATCAAGAGTTGGAGGTAGAAGAAGTCTCAGATTCAAGGCAGTGCCAAAATAGGTTGGAATATCTTGTTCATTGGCATGGATATGATATTAACAAATGCACATGAGAGTCAGAAAAGAATCTTGCAAATACAACAAAGAAAGTTGATGCCTTTCATTGACAACATCCATCAAAATCAAAGTAAAGAATTACATAGATCCATGAAAGATGATGATTGCTCCTCATAAAATTCATTCTTAGAAGGGTAGGATATATCATGGATATACACATTTATCTCAATAATTACTTGTATGATTACGTAGAAGTATGTAAATATAGATTAATTTCATAATATCTTCTAAAATAGCTTCCTAAAAGCTTCATAGACACGATTTTGACTTTAGATGTATCTGTAGGATAGAAACTTTGCCAACAAGTTAACCACATATAGGTAGCTTGTGAAAAAAGTTAACAATGTGGTGCATATATAGATAACTTGCCTTACATATTAAGACATGTGGCTAGCAAAGTCAACACATGTTGGAGATCTTGTACAATATTATCATGTAGCTCCTAATTAGAGAGTATATATAGAGGTAAAAGTGAAGCCATTTTTACTCTTGTCAATGCCTTTGTAGTCTTTAGTCTTGTTTTAAGACTTTCTAGTTTTTTTTTTTTTGATAATAGCCATTCTAGATGAATATTACATCACCTTTTGAGTGACTTTCTAGTTCTCTTTAGTGACATAAAAGTGTATTGAGGATTTTCTTTCTTCGAGTTTCATATCCTTTATAATATTATATTTTTTCTACATAGAATTTTTAGATGGCATCTTGACCTATGGACACAAAATGTAATGATGGATATTATAAAGAAAGAAAAGCTACTGGACAAAAGGATTAAAGAAGCAAAATCCTTATACAAATAGATTATTTTTCTTATTGACTTTTTTTAAGGCCTACTAAGTATTCCACAATTTTGTATGGAAGAAAGCTATTACAAGAATTTATAGTTGATAAATGAGCAGCAATTAAGCAATCATTTTATAATATCAACGTTATATTCAAGGAAATTAATGTACTCATATATGCCAAGGATTGGTGGATACTATTATAACTCATCAAAATATTAGACATGAAAAGAGACAATATGAATTATATAATTTAGGATGCATGATTTTACTTCAATCATTACATATTAGAAGTGCAAGATATATGATAGAAATATTTTAAGATTGTTTAGAAATTATAAGGTTTTATTAGCATTCTAATATTTTTATGAAAATGACACCAAATCTAAGATGGTTCAAAATCTAGAATGAATTCTTTCAAAGACAACAATCAAGTGATTGGCTAGATTTGGTTGCTAGTGTATTTGAACTCAAAAAATATGAAATAATAGAAAATATAAAGAAAAGAATTATCTTTGATTATGTTGTTTCATATATTTATATCATTGAATTTAAAAAGAGATGTCTACCTCATATGCATATCTTATTTTTTTTTTAATAGAGAAAGTAAGATTAGATGTATTGGAGATGTAGATTGTATGGTTTCTACAAAGTTTTTAGATAAAGACAATGACCAAAAGCTATTAGAAGTTATTCTACAATATATAGTATATGATCCATATAGAATTTAAAATCCTCAAGTGCTTAGCATGAAAGATGGTCATTATATAAAGAAATATTGAATATTATTCGTAAAAAAATTAAAAATAATTAAAAATAAAAAACAATAAATGGTGATAAATATCTTCAATATTGATGAAAAAATAATAAAAGAATACTTGAAGTTTGAAGAATGGTTGTTGATAATAGAGATGTTTTTTCATTTTATCCAAAACTATTTCAAAAGTGTAATTGCCATATTAATATTGAGGTATATACACCTATTTGTACTATCAATTATATCTACAAATACATCCACAAGAACCATGATTGCATTACAATGAAATTTAAAAACCAATAAGATGATTTCAAATAATATTTGGTTGCAAAATACATTAGAGCTTTGTAGGCTATTTGGAGACTTTTTGGCATGCAGATCCATAAAAAAATACCAAATATTGTTTATTTGATTGTTCATCTTTCAAAAATATATGAAGTGATATATGATCTAAATGACAAAGCAACTACAATTTTAGAATGTGCTAAAAGATAAAAGATAATATTAACTTTATTTTTTGAAACAAGTGCAACAATGGCAATTACAAGAGAATATATATACCAGCAGTTTCTACAACATTTTATTTGACATAAGCTAAGAAAGATGTAGAAATTAAAAAATTATAGATTTGTTATTAAAAGATTATATTTTGTAAATCTAGCAATAGAAAAAAGATATCATTTAAGGCTTCTATTAATCCATATTAAAGGTATATAATCATTTGAGTATTCAAAGATTATTTATGAAATTTTCCATCCAACATTTAAAACTATATGTGTATCTTTAAGATTTCTTTAAGATAATAGAAAGTGGCAACAATATTTGAAAGATGCATTAAAAATACAAATTAGATTTCAATTGAGGATATTATTTATTATTTTGTTATTATACAAAATTTACTAAATCCATTAAGTTTATAAAAAAATATTTTGAAAAAAGCATCTTCGATGATCTCAATGCCTGTTTTAAAGAATTCATAGAATTAGCAATTCAATAAAAAAAAAAAAAAAAAAAAAAAAAAAAAATAGATTAAATATTTTAGACTTTTCTTGCTAGATAAGATTTTACAATACTTAAATAATATCCTTGCATAATTTTTTCAAATACCATTATCAAGAAATAATTAGAATACAACATTTAATAGAAATTAATTTATTATTGAAAAAAACAAGAGACATTTAATAATTAGAAGTAATTTTGAAGCAATATATTCCATAATTGAATCTTGAACAAAAAAAGGCATATAATGATATTGTGGCACCTATAATAGAAGAACATGGATGCATGTTTTTTTTCTAAAAAGACTTGTAAAAATTAGTAAGTCATTTGTTTATAATACTTTGAGAAATAAAGTTTGATTGATATAAAAGATCGTCATATGTATTATATCATCAAAAATTGCCACATTACTACTTGAGAAAGGAACAACCGCATATTCTATATTCAAGATTCTTTTAGATTGTAACAAATACTATTTTTCTTCAATTACTAAGAATTTCGACTATACTAAGTTTATTTATCAAACTTCACTTATTATTTGGAATGAACTTCTAATGCTACATCGTTATTGTCTTAAGACAATTGATTATTCTTTTAGAGACATTTGAAATATTGATCACCTATTTAGAAGAGCTATAATAGTTTTTAGTAGAGATTTTTGTCAAATATTGCTAGTGATTAAGAAAAGAAGTCAAGTAGAAATTGTAGTAGCATCTTTTTGATAATTAATACTTTGGCCTCAAATAAAAATCCATACATTAAAAGAAAACATGAGATTAAATTCAAGAGTACTTCAAGCACTTATCAAGTTTGCTAGCTGGCTTCTTTAGATATAGAATGCATATACATGTTGTATATATAAATGGTGGTGCATTTGAATTCTTTATGGTTACATTATTATTGACATATATTTCTATTTTTCACTTGTTAGATTGAAAATAGTACTAACTTATTGCCCAATAATGTAGTTATACTTCCTAATTATATTATTATTAATCAATAATTTATGGCTTTAGTAGATGTTGTATATTCAAGGCTAGTATAAGATGGTATAGCAAATAATACTTTTTTTAGAGATAGAATCATTTTACCTATACAGAATGATGATATAGAGAATATCAATGAAAAAATTATGGTCATATTTTCTAGAAAAGAATAAGAATATGTAAGCATCAATGAAATTATTGTCAAAGATGGTGTCGACAAGAATAATGTTTATCGAGTCAAATTCATCAAGTCACTTAATCCGTCTGAAATGCCCAAATCAAGGCTTTGTCTTAAGATTGAGACTTTAGTGATGCTACTAAAAAATATTGCTCCTTGCCAAGGACTTTGTAATAGAACCTCATTGGTAATTATAAGATTAATGGATTGGGTCCTTGAAGCAAGAATTCTTAGAGACAAGTTTGTTGGAAACTTGATGTTTATTTTGCAGATTACATTAACTTCTACAATAAAAGAACTTCCATTTATTCTAAAGAAAAAGTAATTTCCAATCCATCTTAAATTTGCAATAATAATATACAAATCTCAAAAATAATTGATAAAGCACGTTGGTTTGCATCTATAATAACCTATTCTTTTTTTCATGGTCAACTTTATGTAGCACTTTCTTGATGCACTTCTTCATGTTCTATTAAGATTCTTCTTCCTAAAAATAACAATTGAAATTCCATGAGAAATATTGTTTTTTTTATAAAAAAATTAGATAAATATTAGTAATTTATTTTTTTACTTTGTATTTTAATTAATTTATTTATTAACTTTAGTACATTTTTTAATGTCTTAACATACTTTTATGATTTTTTAATATAATTTAACATTTTTTTATATTTTCACAAGTAGTTCCTTAAATAAAATTAACTACTTTTTTTGCATATTATCTATGACAGAGGCACGGCTTTACCTATCCTACTTTGTAGCTAAAAGCTCTATTGTGTATTTTATTTCTTTCTATTTGTATTGTAGTTGTATTTAAAAAATATTCCTTGGCACAAAAAATGTTTCATTTGAGTCACATTTTCTGTGACAACAACACAGTTTCATCTAGTTCTACTTTTAATGCTTATATCAGCTTTTATAGGATACATACTACAGTGGGGTCAATTTGGCCCCTCCTACTAAATTAGTCCACATATTTTTTAGTTAAATTATGGAGAATGTGTACACAAGAAACGGACGGGAATAGGACGCTCTACCTTCGAGTCGGGCCATCGCAAAGAACCAACTCGGAAGCCTCACGTGGATGAATGTAACTTAATACAGTTTCATTCCATGCATATCATCCAGAGGGAGGCTTAAACCCTGAACCCTTCGACCTATGTTCCTTGCAAAACCCGTGTGCTCCGTTTTCACAGACGCGGCGTTGTATCGCCGATAATTTCGATTGAGTTCTAATTTAGTGTTTGATTTCGTTTCTCTCGTATCTGAATCCAAAGAGCCGACGATTTTATCTGCGAATTTCGTACTGGGTTTCGGTGGGTTGCTTGTGTGGTGAGCTTAAGACAGGGGAGAAGAGTAGAAGAGAAGAGATGACGAAAGCCAGTAAAACTCGCAAGTTCGCTCAATTGAAGCGTATTCTGGCGCCGAAAGGAATTAAACAGTGGGTTCATTATTGAATTTGAAGTTTGTAGTGCTATTGAGTGGGAATCGTGGTGTGGTGGAGTTCGAAATTGTAGCTTTGTCCTCAGTGTGACTAGAGGTGGGAGGACTGATGGTTTGTTCCTTTTTTTCTCATGAAGGTACAAGGACGATGTTCTGAACCCAAAGAGGAAGGATACTTCCTTGGAGAAGCTCCCCAGAAACGTGTAAGTTCACTCCTTCGATTTCCTTTGTGAGACCAATTCTTACGTTTTATCAGGCACTTGTAGTTATCGCTGTCGATCTGTAACGAGCTGTATGTAATTTCTGGGGATTTATGGTCCGCTGCTGTTGGCTTTGAACTGATTTGTGTTCGAAAGGCAAAGCAGGATTCTGAAACTCTTCTTAGGATTATGTCTGGTATAATTAGGTTAGAAGCTCTTTCGTCCCACTCTAAGCCGTAATGAGAGTGTAATTTGAAGTCACGCTAACCGATTTGTATACTTCATTATGTAGACCAAATACTTCATCAGCTCTTTTCTTCAAACATAACTCTGCGCTTGGACCACCGTACCAAGTCTTGGTTGATACAAACTTTATCAACTTCTCAATCCAAAATAAGGTATGATGCTAGTTACGGTTTGATTTGAGCCCCAGATTTTGTTTATTTCAGGTTTTGAGGCAAAACTCTTCACCGACGCGCACTGCAATCGTGGTTACCTTTCGGAAGTATAGTTGTCTTAGATGTTTATCGTGCATTTAACTTTTTTGTATTTATTACAATTTGTCTTATTGAAATTTTGGTTTATTCATGTACTGTGAGTGATGTGCAGTTGGACCTGGAGAAGGCCATGATGGATTGCTTGTATGCCAAATGTAAGTGAATTGCTAGTGCTAGTGGGTTCGCTGTTCATTCTATTGAGTCTCTTTTAAGAAGTATTAGTTGCTAAAAAACTGGGCTACAGAAGTGTTTCAAGGTTGTTTTAGCATCCTGTTTGATTGTATTAGTCCATGACTCATGAACTGTTTGGCGTGCAGGTACACCTTGTATCACAGATTGTGTAATGGCTGAGCTGGAGAAATTGGGTCAAAAATATCGAGTTGCTTTAAGGTGCCTTCACCTTCATTTCATTGGCAATGGTGTGTAGTGAATGAGTCGCTTGTCTAGTCAGCATTTTTGGATGCATGTTGCTAATTCCTAGTAGTTTAAATTTTGAGGAAAAAACTTGTTCGAATGAGCTCACCAAATCGAATGATCGCACACACGAAGGCATCATTATTTTAGAATTTTTGTTTCTTAGGTTACGGTGGGGGTATTTGGCAGGGTTGCAAAGGATCCGAGATTTGAAACGCTGCCTTGCACTCACAAGGGTACATATGCTGATGATTGCATTGTGGAGCGTGTTACTCGAGTAAGTCCAATTTTTGCACTTTACGATGTTGATTGCTCACTCTTGTGACATGAACATAACGTTTGAAATCCACCAGGTATTGTTGAGTGAGGGAGGGTCTTTTCCTTGAACGATAATGAAATTATATTTTATTAAATTTGATTATACTGTTTGTGTGTTGCTTCTTCTGATCTCACTGATGTAATTTTGATCAACATGAAGAATAAGTGTTACATTGTGGCCACGTGTGATCGAGACTTAAAGCGTCGCATTCGGAAGGTGAGACTACTGATACCTGCTCTAGAGATACTGATACTGCTACTGGGTCCCAATCCCATGTCTTTCATTTTATTATTGCTATTATTGTTTACTTAGGTGTTAGGTTCTCACAAGGCAAACCGCTGTTCAGATCCCTGGTGTTCCAATAATGTTCATCTCGCAGCACCAATACTCGATTGAGAGGTTACCTGAAGCTACAATAGGAGGAGGTATTGATTTTCTGTACAATCTTGTAAACAGTCGTTACTCATTTGCAATCCAGGAATATTGTCTCTTTGCAATGTGGTATGGTTGTCTGTATCCTTGCAGAGCTAGTTATCAGTGATGCTATCACTTTATCTCCATCGAAATACATAAACCAACCGATATGTATGGGTTGTAATTGGCAGCTCCACGAAAGTGAAGACTAGTAAGCTTATACATTTCTGTATGGCGGTGTGCTTGCTAATACTGAAGTCGGAGTCAAATCTCAAAGCTCTTCGAAGTACTGGTGAATCATTATGCAGACTACATGAACTGCGGCTACCATAGCCACAACCAGTCGAGCAAAACTTGGAGAGGTTAAACTAAGGTAGAGAGCATTAGTTTAACTACAACTGTATATAGAGCTTTAGGAGGTGCTGGTTCACGACTTGTGGTGCTAACCCACGAGAGGCACTGTCGTAAGGTCGTGTGTATGTTGCTTTGTATTAGACACTGCAACCAATTTTTCAGCCTTTACGTATGTCCCCGTTGATAATGACCACTGCCTTCATCCGTCCCTTCGAGTTCACCGGCCCTTGTAACAGTAGCCAATTTGCTTGCCAACTTTGCTGGTCCTTGCTCATCATGTGGGAGCTGTCATGTACTATGATTTGACTGATCTGAACAGACCATGGTTAGAGCCTTTTGTGGCAAAGGAGTGAATGACACTTCGTTTGTCTTTCTTGACTTCTGTATTTTGAGTGATGTTGGTTGAGGGATAATACTTTCAATTTGGATCTTCACTTGGTAACACCTCCACACTTGTTGCTAACTGATGCTCTAACTGTAATGCCCTTCCATTCACAACAGTCTTTAGACAGTATCACAAACTATTATAATGTGAGACTGGTTCAGATAGTATTAACAACAATCTACGTGTTCATATGCATATGAAATGTAGAGAAATATTTGTGGAGAATTGAGCGTAGGAAACTATTTGCATGATAAGAGTATAGACTTTATGATGTGTTCTTCTATGAAGTACTTTTCAATGTGTCCGGACTTGAATGAGTGTCAAGCGTGTGAAGTATTTTGGATGTTGTGGATTGTACAAGCATTAGATTTTGCTTAGGGATGTGGATGACTCAACATTCACCTACCAATGATCACCAATGTGAGTTCATGCTAATGATGAATCCTTATTATTGGATGTGATTCAGTTCATGATTGGATCACTTCAGAGGTTTGTGCAAAAAATTGTGATGATTTGATATTATGTTTTTCATGTAAAAATCACTTAATCCATTACACACATACAAATATGTATTTATATTTTTGTCTGTTTGTGTGCTATCACATAGACTTGTAATATCTTGAAGATGAAAAAAATTGAGAAATGTTGATTGATAGTGCATTGACATTCTTATTGTTATTATTATTATTGATTATTTTTAAAAAAATTATTTCAAATTCTGTTATTTCTGTCTGTGAACATGGAACAATGAGAGCAAAGAACATAAAATGCTGTGAATTAAAAAGTTACAAATATCATCGTTAAAGAACGGATCATGGATTTGATGGGAAGAAAGAACAATATATATACAAATGTTCAACATGTAATCTACAGTAAGAAGAAAGAAATGAAGATTAAGAGCCTTTGTGATTGAATTCTAGTTTGATGGAATTTTCTGATTATTCAAATATCATATCATGTATCAATTTTTACAATGACTATTGTAAAAAATTGACTTTCATGATTCTGTTTACATTATTAATTATGTTCTTTTGAAACCAAGCGCAATTTTTTTTGCTAAAAGTATAATTTTTTAGTCTTCATATCATCTTTCAAATAAAAAACAAGTATTTGTTTTGATACAAGTTTTGTTTCTGAAGGTATGGTTTGGGTTAAAACTTCTGATGTTGAGCATGGAAATTTTACAAATTCGGATTTTACAAGTTATCCTTCTTTGACAATCACTTTCAACATTCTATCCAAAATAACAATCTTCAATCTTTGTGACAATTTTTCAATTTTCGTGGCACATTGAACTATCACTTAATTTTATCTTAAGAAAATTTGTTGCTCCTGAAAAAAGTTAAAAAATCTCAAATCAACTTTTACGGCTTTCTCATTGCAATTACAATTCTATCGGAAAACAAATTGAAGGATAGGAAATAAATGAATAAATGAATTAAAAAAAATATGGAATCATTTTTAATTATTAAAACGACAATAATAAGTGCATTGATGATTTTTATTTTTGTATCAAGTTAAAATTTAATTATATTAGATACAAACTATATAAATATAACAGCAATATATCTTACTTTTGTTTTATGATTTTGAATACTGATTCTTTTTATAAGTTGAGATTGTTATCAGGCAATGCAGGTATTACTAAGACTAAAAGTCGTAACAATTTTGTAAAGAAAATCTAAGCAACTATAAATGTCATGTATTAGTAAATCTCTGGATTGCTGCATATAAAATTTACATCATATTCAGACTTTTAGGGTGATAAATTCATTCAACTTATAAGTTTTTGATTTATGGTTTTAAAATATTTTAATAATGTGCTTATAAAATATATTTATATAGTTGATTTATAATTGTTTCTCTCCTGCATTCCTTAAATGATTTTTGAGGACCACGATTGAAATAAACAACACTATACTGATGTAAGGCCATGATCTTCTCTATCAAAACTAGCAAATTGCTAGGTGGACACGCTTATTTTACTGTGTGGACACCCTCTCCATACCACACCAACAAAACACCATTGCTACAAGTTTTTCAACAAATTGAACACTAATGAGGCTAAAAGATATAAAAATAAAATAAAAAATAGAAAAAACAAAAACAATAAACAAGAAAAAATCAACAATAATCTACAACACATTAATATTAGGGATACAAAAGCTAATCAAAGAAAAAAAAATGATAAAAAGAAATTATCCACCTAGCAAAACCACTATGCAAACACCTTTATTTATTTATTTGTTTTTCTTAGCTTTTGTATTGATGATGTTCATGTATTGTAGATTTTTTTGAAAGTAAGATTTTTTTATGAATTATATGAGATTTTAGTAAGATTCAAATTATATATAACTTATAAAAAGCATAAATTATAAAATTATATTTAGTAAATATTCATTATAGAAGTATGGAATATTCTATCAAATACCAATTCAATGAATCTACAAATAATTCTAAATAGAATCATTTCAAATAACTTATTTTATTTTATTTTGGAAAAAATAGTATTATTGAATTAAATTTATTTTAAAATTCTAATAATAAATTATAATATTTTATCTTAATTATTATAGTAAATTCTCACGATTTTAAATTTTAATTATGAATTGAAGTTTTTACTAAAACATTATTATTCTTATAGCTTATATAAAAAGTCTTAAATATAAACAAATTAAGTTTTTAAAACATTCTAATTTCAAAAAAATCCAACACATAGATAAATTCACATATAAAATTTATATATTATTTTTATATATACTTTATTTTTAAAATATATATATTTTATAAAACACCACAAGCTTTCAAATCTAACATATTACAGTTCTATGTTGCTAATTCTAAAACTTTACAAAAATAAATTTATAATTTATAAGTACCAATTTTTAATTATATTAGTGAATAATTTATTTTATAATTTTTATTATTTAAATATGAATAATTTAAAATTCTAAATAAATTCTTTAAGATTAAAGATGATTGATTTGTATGTTTAAACTTCTTAAGGAGCTTCTTTGCTCCTAGTACATATAAGATTTAAGATTGAGGGGATCCTCAATCTATAAAATACAATCCATGTAATTTAACTTCGGCCTTCTGGTTTTGTTTTTATATCTTCTTGTAGCTTTTTTTTTGTAATATAAAGTAAATTTCTTTTGTTTCATTTTCTTAAATTTTTGAAGTATTGTCCTACTTAAGTGATATATCTATAATAATTTGTCAAGACTACCATAACTCATATATATGTATACTATATATATATATATATATATATATATAGCATATAATTACACTATAATATTTCAATTGAAAATTTAAAAACAATTGCTGATCATACTATGTATATATAAACACTGAAGAATAAATTTATCTATTCCACAAATCAAAAAAAATCTTGTATTGTCATCTAACCTTTCTTATTGCTTTATCTTACCAATATATTTGAGTACTTAAAAACTTAAAATCCTTTCTTAAATAGATTCAAAAGCCTCTACTTGTTTTATTGACTTAGAATTTCGAGGAATCCATAAAATTCTCATTATCAAAAAACTTAAATTTTTCCATGTAGAAGTCATAGATGATCAATTCTTATCTTTTAGAGATGTTATTTAAGAAACTAATTTACTTGAAGTATAATCAAAGAATCATAGTAAATCATGAATATGTGGTAGATGCCATGCAATAGATCTTTTACTTCTTTTATTTTGGATCAATTTCAATTCTATTCTTCTTTGTAAAACTCACAAAAAAAAAAAGAGATGATATTATAGACATACAACAGAAGATAATTTTAAAAGATTCTAAAAGATTCTAAAATATTCTATTAAATTGTAGAAGGTTCTAAAAGATTTCTAATAATTTCTATAAGTTCTTAATAGGTTCTAGTAGATTTTAAAAAGCTTCCAAAATATCCTAGAAGATTTTCAAGACTCTCAGTTGGTTGTAGAAGGTTTTTGGAGGCTTGTTTTACCTCCAAGTATCAAAAAACTTCTCAAGGAGCTTTCTTATACTTAGTATATATAAGAGTTGAGACAAAAGGTATCCTTAATCTTAACAATAAAATCCATGTACCTTTGCTTAAGCCTTCTAGTGTTGTTTTTGCGCCTTGTTGTAGCTCATTGTTTGTAATATAAAGTGAATCTTTTTTACTTTATTTTGTTGAATTCTTGGAGTCTTGCTCTATCTAAGTAATGTGTCCATAACATTCTTATGTTGAATTATAGATTGATTCTAATAGATGCTTTAAATTTCTAAAAATAATTTATTAAGGCATTTCTAGGTAATTTTAAAGAATATTAAGTAATGAGACATATTTTGAATTTTTCTTAAACAACATAGACCTTTATAATCTAATAAAAAATTAAATTAGTCTTATTTTTTTAGTTCTAAAAACAAACTTTGAATTTTTACTTAAACTTTTAAATAAGATAAAATTTTATATTATCAAATAAAAATTTTAAGATATTTTTATCAATAAGTATTTTTAATTTTTATTTCAAGATATTAATATTTAATTTTAAAAAATCTGATAATATAGCTATAGTATCTATTTTAAATTCTTACATGTCAAATTTTGTAGTAAATAGTTGAATTTATTTAATATTATTAAGCTTTATATAAGCTCCTTTCAATATATCTTCATACAAAGAAAATCCTCATACATGGTCTTTTTTTTTAAACATCTCTTTTATAAGAATTATTTCAGTTTATTTATTTATATATGTACACATAATTTTTATTTTTAAAAAGTATTTTTTATCTCATTTTCTAAATAATCAATCCAATATAGGAATACTTATAATCTTTTATTTGGTAGCAAAATATATGTAAAATTATTATTCATATTCAACTTTAATGATCTTAATATTAATTAAGTTAATTTTGGACTTAATTTACATTTCAAATAATGATCTTAATATTAATTAAATTAATTTTGGACTTAATTTAAATTTCAAATATATTATATGCTAAGCAATATTTGTAATAATGTTTT